AGAGTCGGCGGCGGAGTTTAAACCTAAAAAGTATCGGCGCCAAGGCTTAGCGCCGGACTCGGCGGTAAATAGAAGTCTATAGGTTTAATTAATTAAACCTATCCGATTAAATACATAATATATAAATATCGGCTCGTATAAATATACGAATAATAATAAGTTTAATAGTAATTTTAATAGTAGATTATTAATTAATATAATCTTTATATAAAGACTAAGGTATAACGCTATAAGCCCTATAGTAAATTATAACCCTTATTAATACCTTAGCTATTGTAAGAAGCTATTATAATAGATTTTATTATTAAATTACCCTTATTAGAAAAACTAATTATTAGAAACTTCTATAATAATATCCTTATTATTATAAATAGATTTATAAAATTCTCTTATTTTATACCTTATAAAGAATTAATAATAACTAAAGAATTTATTTAGTTTTTTTATTTTTATATTATTAAGATATATTATATATTACTTAAAATTATTATAAATATAGAATTATTATTTACTTTAAAGTTCTAATAAAGCCTTATAGGATACCTAAGCATTAATTATAAATTCTTTATTATATATTATAAAGAGATAAATAAATAAATAAAATATATAAATTAGATATTAGAATAATACCTTTAATATTATATTAATTATAAATAAACTAACTAAGTTAAAAAGCTATTAGCCGCTTAGTTAGCTTATAATATAGGTATAAATAAAAGCATAAAGATTATAATAATATATATTAATTTTAGATTTATTCTAGATATTTATTAATAATTATAAGATATTATTATTAACCCTAAGGTAATCTTTATTAATAATTAATTATATAATTTATATAAAGAAATATAAATAAAACTTAAATTTATAAAAAATAAAATGATAATTTATATTAATAAAAAAAGGATTAAAGAATTAATTTTCTTAGAGAGAGATATAATTTACCTTATAATAAAATATATTAAAATAAAATAATAAAATAAAAAACTTAATTATAAATATATTAGACCTTATAAAATTAAAAAAAAATCTTAAAATATAATTATAAATTAGACTTATTACCTAAGGTTAAGCTTTATTTAATCTTTTATATTTTATTACTTAAATTAATATAAGATATTATTTAAATAAAAGTAAATAATAAACCTAATATAGAGCTTAATAGATTAAAAGAATATATTCTAAAAGCTATTCTTAATATAAATAAAATTAATAATAACATAATATATTTTATTAAATAAAAAAACTACCTAGACTTAGAAAATATATAAGAACCCTTAGAATACCTTATTAATATATAACACTTTTAAAAGAATTTCTATTAATAATATTAAATATAAATTTATTAAGATTAATTATATCTTAATTAATTAAATTAATTACCCTTAAGAAATAAGCCTTTATTATAATAAATAACTTATTATAAAGCTCGCCTAATTTATCTAAAGTATAAAGGCTATAATTAAAAGCCTTATTACCTCGCGCTTTAAGAAAATACTTCTATTAATAAATATAAGCTAACTTAGCTATTATTACCTCTAAAATAGCCTTTATCTCTACCTTTTTATTCTTAAGCTTTTTATACTTATAAATATTTTTTATAATTATAATATTAGCTAAAAATATAAAAAGATATATATATAAGGAAAGACTTATAAAAAGAAGCTATATTAATATTATTATATATAACCTTAGTATTTATATAATTAAAATAATAATTAAAATAATTAGATATTACCTTATAAGAAAGACCTTAATAAAAGTATTAAATATAAAATATAATTTTAGACTTAAAGGTATTAATATATATTAAAAGACCTTATACCTTAGAAAGTTTATAAGAAAAAATAATATACTTAGAAACCTAGCTTAATATTATATTAATATAAAAGGAATTTTTATAGGTCTAAATTCCTTACTTATAATACTTAGTTATAAAAAGCGGTCTTAGGGATAAGATTAATAGAGGGGAGACCTTATATTATAGCTATAATATATATTAGGCGGGGAAATATAATAATATTACTTAACTAAGTATAGGACTAAAAGGACTAAACTATATTCCTATTAGTCCCTAGATTAATAGCTAAGAATTATAATCTTACCCTAGATTAATATCCTTATATAATAATCCAAGGCTTAATTACTTAAGTATATAAAATATATTTATTATATTTTCTTATATAATAATTACCTTAGCTATTAATATAACTTAATTATATTTAATACCCTTAAGTATATTATTAGATATAATATTATATTAACCTTTAAGGCTATATAATATAATCTAATGCTAATATAAACCTATACGACCGGTTTATCCCTTGGGAAATATTGTTATGGATCCCTTAGCTCTGGTAAGGGATAGAGGTACCGCTGAAAGCGGCAGTGAGATAGCTGACTTTGGCAGCTATCTGGTTGAAGTCATATAATTCATAAAGTATAGAGAGCAAAGAAGGCACAATGTAAGTAATCTAATCTAAGTTGATTCTTCCTAACTAATGGCTGCTGGATTTGACTGTTATAGCGCTAGATCCGTCACGTGGGGAACCCGTATGACTGGGGCATGTAACAAGTGCCGGGGTCCCCGAAAGCTCTGCTGTCCCAGCAGAGTCCGAATCTACGCTCTCCCATCCTTCCTTCATCAAGTCCAGCAGTAAAACAAAAATCCGTTTTCTCCCTATTTACATTCTGGTTATTCCCTGAACTCCATGCTTCCGTCCGTCCTTCCGTCGAAATCATCCTTCTACCTGATCCTTCCATTCTTTCCCTTGGCCCTCACCAAAAACAATCCATCTCCGCTTCACTCGTCGTCGAAAAAGTTCTGGTCCCAGCCAATCTCGTCCCCGTTAGATGCGCCAGTCTTGCCGGTGGACTTAGCGGGTCCGGGAGCGCGCTTCTTAGCGGGTTTGGCGACCTACTGGAGAAAAGCGTTAGCCTTCGAGATGCCTCCGCGGGCGGCGGTGCTGCTGCGGGCGGCCGGGTTTCGTACTGCCGGATTAGCCCGCTTCTCGGTGGTCGGATCGACCAAGACGGGGGTTACCTTCGGCTTGCGGACAGCCGGAGCCGGCTGCTAGACCGCCAGCTGCTTCTTCACCTCTGCGACCACGATCTTCTCCATCTGGGCGTTGAACTCCTTGAGGTTCTTGTTGTACTCGTCGACCGCATCCTTCGTGGCCTCACAGGCGGTAATTCGGATCGCCTAGTTGCCGATTTCGTCGTAATAGTAGTCGGATTCCCGTCGCAACTTCGAGACCTTCTTCACGATTTGCTTCTACTCGCCGTCCATCTGTCGCACCTTGTTGACCAGCTGATCGCGGAGTTTATTCACATTGGCCTTGATTTCGTCGACCTCCTTCGATATGGCGATCGAGGTAGCGGCGGCATTCGCGGCGACTACGGATATGTTGTCGTCGACTCTAGCCTGCTTGCCGCTGACTCCGGTGGCGGGGCGTCCCCCGATCTAGATTATCTAGCCGCGTTGCATAGTTGCGAGGTATCCGGCGATGGTTCCGTTAGTAGCACCGTAGGGATCGACGAAACGTGGGAGTATAAGTTCGGCCTGATCGGGTAGATAGTCGGTCTACTACTTCTTATTGCCCCGACTCTCGCCGTATCCACCGTTCATGTAGGCCTTTGCAGCGTCTCGAACGCGGTTCTTAGTCTTACGCACCATGTTAGATTTACCCTTAGTCTTATCGCGCTTAGTTCCGGTAGTCTCCTTCCCCTTTCCGGTCACGGGGGTCGCAATCTTGCCGTTGCCAGCAACGAGAGTATCGTCATCGGCCATCTCCTCGTCGAGTTCGCTGCTTTCTATGCCGTCATAGTACTCATTAATCAGTCATTCGACACGGAGGAAAAGATCCCACTCCGGATAGTCGCCATCGGGCCGGGAGCAATCAAAGTCGGGCTGCTCTCCTGCGGTGTGCTCCGGGCTGCACAGCTAGAATTCGACGTAGAGGCACTAGAGGGCGTCCGTTCGGGTCCAGACCTTCTTCGTGGCGGATCCTCTGACCGGCCCGTCGAATCTATAGTCAGCGTAGGTACCGCTGAAACTATCGTCCTCATCGTTGCTACCGGTGATGCGACTATTCATCAGCTTGTCGATATACTCCTAGTGTCAGCGGTGAGCTGCTCCTCCGGAACTGCCTAGGGCGCTGCTAGGAAGCAGGTGTCTACCGCCGAATTTGCGCGGGCGAACTGGCTCAATCTCCTCGAGGTCCGACTCATAGTCGGAATCGTCGTCGCTCGAGCTAATATCTATATCCTTCCGGCCAGGATTAGCATTATCGTTATCAAAGAGGTCATCGAAAGCAGGCGTGTTATCGTCGGTGACGTCGCTATTATCGCCTTCAACGTTGCTCTGTATGGTCTCATCCTATTCGGGGCGGACTCCGCCTATATCGGCAGTGGGAGTGCCGATTCTCTCCTCAGTGCGAGTGCTATCGTCGTCAATGGCTAGAGTCGCCATCGTGAATTGATGAGTTTAGCGGCGGCCTATCGTTTTCGCTGGGTGTGATTTGTCGGTTTAGTTGGTTTTAGCGGCGGGCGTATGGGTTCGCCGGCGGCTAGTTGGTTCTGACCTTGCTTATGCTGTGGGGTCTATGTTAGTATGGTGCGAGGTAGAAGATCGGGTGAAATTTTAGCGGGGTCGTAGGGGTTTATATACTTTGATCCCTGCGGTGAATTCGACCGTGTTCGTATGTGAATTTCGGCTTATTTTTACTTATTTTTGGCATTGGGTTCTATCCTCGTTTCGTGCTATATGTTCGTGGTTTATTCCGTCGTGTTGAGGCTAAATTCGCGTACCTACTTGCTAGAAAGGAGTCTAATGAACTCCGGGCTTCTACTATGACATCCCTCGATTCCGGGATTCATCCTAAATATCAGTGTTTTTAGAAAGGGAGGTATTAATATCGCTAGAAAAAGGTGTTCCCTGATAAATGCGAGACATATAAAAAGTGGTTAACAAATGAAATAGTATTCCGGGTCTTCGGTTACGTATTCCTCCCGGTTCATCGCCGTTTTAGGCGGTGCTCGTTCCTTATTTATCCTCCGGTTTAAAGGATTTAGGCATACTTTTCTTTTTCTTTTTGAATTCGAGGCCCCAGTCCACCGGATTCGCTCTCTTCCATGCTTCTACCATGCTCCTCGCTATGTTTCGGAGCTCGGGTTCAGCTATCTAGTTATCGTCTTTGGCCGTAAAGCCGACCCATCTCACCAGTAAGTCCCTATATGGCATCTTGTTCTTCCAGCGGATTCGTTGCTGCACGATTCTTTCCACTTCCCAGTGGTCCGCGACCTCCTCGTCGTCGATTGCAATAGGAGCCGGTGGTGGAATCGTTCGTTGGTATGGGTCCTCTCCCTGTGCTGGCTTCCATAGATGGGCGACCGAAACAACCGGGTGGACTTTCCAGTGCTCTGGGAAGTCGAGCTTGAATGCCTGCTGTCCGATCTTGCGGATGACCTTGTAGGGTCCGGCCCTCGTGGGTGACTATTTCCTCTTAGGTTTCCCTGGTAGGTGATAGCCCTTATGGAGTCGCAGGTAGACTATATCACCTTCGTCGATATTGATTTCCTTATGCTTCGCGTCGTACCTAATCTTAGCTAGCAATACTAAGGTATCAATAAGAAATTCCGCCTCCTTATAGTAGATCTTACGCAGCGCCTCCAATGCTTGCGCGTCTACTTCCTCATCCTCGATTCCGGATGTGGCTGCGAGGTCGAGGATTCCGCGTAGGCGGAACCCATAAATCAATTCATTTGGTGCTCTCCCGATGGTATTTGATACTGCGTTATTGAGGTTATGCTACAGCGATGGGAGCAGAGCCGGCCACGGCGTATCCGGATCCGTTGCGGTGTAGTACCGAATCGCAGTTTCGACCGTCTGGTTCTTTCTTTCTGAGATCCCATCGGTCTAGGGGTGATACGCGGCCGACATGAGGAAGTCAACTCTGAGGAAGCCAAAGACGGCTCTCCAGATCTGGGATATGAACTTCGGGTCCCTATCGCTGATGATCCGTACGGGGACTCCCCAATCCAGTAGGAATAACATCCGGATGAGCACCTTCGCCCAGTCTTCTGCCGTATATAATGTATGCCCTGCTAGGAGTATTGTCCTTTTCGAGAACACGTAGTTAACGGGGGCCAGGCAGTCGAGTTTGTCGTGCCCTTCGACGAACCACATTGTCCCTGCTGCGGTTACCTCCGGCAGGTCTATAATGAAGTCGAGGGCGATCGTGTGGAAAGGTCGTAGTACTACCGCAATCGACTATAGTTCCCCCTGAGTCGGCTTCTGACTTATCGAATTCTCGTGATATACTGGGCAGTGGGCTACGTAGTTACGTATTATTTTCGATATTCGGTAGAAGTAAACTAGGTCTAACTCTTAAGTTATGCGGTTAATTCCGAAGTGGTGCTTGTTATCGTGGACGATTTCGAGGATGCTTTTGACCAAGGGTCGTGGGATATAGAGTCTCCGTTTTCCTTCGTATCCGACGTGGTATAAGAGTTCATCGGAGAGTTCCCATGGCCGGAAGGGTATTATCTTTAGTCATCGGTTCTGGCGGTCCGCGTTCTAGATTTCCTTAATATAATCCCATATCCGACCTAGCTTCGAGTCCTTACTATAGCCCTCGATTACTTATTGACGAAACTCCGGTGTGATCCCAATTTGTATTATTTCCACTTCTGCTAAAGCCACCACGAAGTCCAGCTCGTCGAAGTTGCTTTTAGTGGCTTGTCTTACTAGTCGGTCTTCGACGGGTAGGCGGGAGAGTACGTCTAGGATCACGTTAAGTACGCCCGGCACGTAGAATATCCTCAGCTCGAATTAGGAGAGGTAGTTAGCCGCCTTGACCAACTTCGGGTTAGCTTTATTGAAATCGACGGTCTTCAGAGAGGTATAGGTAATAATACCTTTAGTTATAGCGTAGTCGGTAATAATATTTACTAGGTGCCTGCTTGATTGTACTAGCTTTCCCATCTTTCATACTGCCTATACTAACGCTGCGACTTCGGCTTCTATCGATCCGTATCTAGCCTCTACCGCGGAGGTTAGGCGCGAGAAGAACCCGATGGGTTTTAGCTTCTCGCTTGGAATATCCTTCCTAGGAATTGAGCTTCTGTCCTATTCCCCGTCGATCTGAAAGACGAATAGGCCAAAGCCGTTCTTACACGCGTCGATTTTAAAGAAAAGCGGTTTTATTGGATCATAGTGCCATAGGGTGAATTGTTCTGTTAGGAATTGCTGCATCTCGTTGAAAGCGTTTTGTTCCTTCTCCGTAGGCGTGAATGCGATGGCTGATGCTTTCAACCTGCGGACTAGTTTTGACGCTCCGGTCGGCAATTTCGAGGCGGCTTTAGCTTCGCGCAGTAGCTGCGACTTCCGATCGAGTAAGGGGCGCATTCGCACGTCGTACCATGGAATTCCTTTTCGGAGGTATCCGGCCATCCCAATATAGGTTTCGAGAGCGGCCAGGTCGGTTAGGCATACCATTTTTGCGAAAGCATCGAGTCGGTCTTGAGTTCGGTATAGCCCGTCGCCGTCGACTACGTATCCGAGCAGCTTGACCGCGTTATATCCTATGAAGGATTTATCGGCGGCGATCTTCAACCGATTCTCGTCGAGTAGCTTTAATACCACTTCCAGATGCTCGAGGTGCTCCTTGAAAGTGTCGGAAAAGACTACTATATCGTCGATATAGACGCGCACAAAGGCGCGATATTGGAGGAACATCCCGTCCATGAACCGTTGGCCAAAAGCCGGTGAGTTCTTAAATCCCATTAGGGCTACGTTAGAAACTTCCAACCCACGGTTAGATATAACCACCATTTAATTGCGGTGCGCATTATAGATAGGCAGCTGATGGAAAAATCCGGTCCCGTCGAATATCGAAAAGTACTTCTTCCCTCTCGTATCCGCCACGATATCCTCCTGATCCGGCAGTGGGTACATATCGGGCACCGTGATGCTATTTAGGGGTCGCAGGTCAACCACGACTCTGCCCTTCTTCTTGCTATCTACGGTTCTCTAGACGACGAAAGCAGGGTAGGCGATGGGTGTTGGTTCGTCTAGGTGATGCATTTTTCCCGCTGCGTGTAGCTTCCCGTGGACTTCGTCTAGGAACCGGCGGTCTTCGATCCCCATTGGGTAGGCTCTGACGGTCCTCTTCTGGTTCTGCTATCCGTCGACGAGGTCGATTCTTATTTTCTTTTCCTTAGGCATGGGGACGATGCCTTTGTCCCTGTAGATGTCGTATTTGTTCGTTAACTCTATGAACTTCGCGGCCTTCTTTTCGTCGAGGTTGGCTACTTTGACTCCGAACCTGTTCTATACCGAGGGAATGCCTTTAGGGCGGCTGATCCCGTAATTGGGTAGTCCGGCATCGACACGGATTGGGTTGTCTTTGTCGATTGTCTCTTCTAATTCGGTCGTTGTCATCGGTAGCGTGCCGGTTACGAGTACGTTCTCGACTTCCTCCCCTGGTCTGAAATCCTTGCCGATTATGCCTGGGAAATCCACCGTTCCGGACCCGCTAGCGATGAAGTTCGTAGTTTCGTTGCCTTCGTAGTTACTGATATGACCTATGAGTTGCCTCCGATGGATCCGAATGTCTTTTCCGTCGGTGTTGTGGAAGATGACTATCCTCGGGGTGCTTCTGTCGATTGTGCTGTCGAAAAAGCGTTTATCCTTCCCTTGGAAGTAGAAAGCCTCCTTACTCCCATCTGATCTGTGTGTCGCCGGTAGGTTCTTATAAGTGACCGGGATGAAAGCGGTTTCGCCTTTCTTCACCGTGACTGTGTAGGCGCTCTTTACCACTCGGTTAAGCGGCGAGATTCTCTTCTTAAAGATCTCCCCTCGGATGATTATGCTATGCGCCGATCTGAAAGAGACGCTGGGGTAGACGAAATCGACTTTAGCTCCGTGCTCGTATAGGAAGCCTATCCCTAGTAGCAAATGGGGCGTGAGTTGGTCGACGATATCGGCGGTGACGGTGAAGTGGGCCTTGACCTCTTTTCCTCGTATGGTTCCGGGAAGGTAGAAGTCGAAGGTAGCGGATTTAGTGATATTTGTAACTCTCCCTATGCCGCTGAGGGTTTTCGGCTCTTAGTTCTTCTAGGTCACCTTTTTGCCGTGCTCCGTGAGCTATGCCTCGTCGACTATGGTAGCCGAGGCTCCGGTATCGCAGTATACTTAGTAGGTCTTGGCTTCTTTTGTTCCTTCGAAGGTGAGGAGGATCCGGAGATATATCAAAGCTTTTCCGCCTAACTAGTCACTGAAGTCGGGTCTTCTTATTGCTTCGATGACTTGGCCGTCGTCAATAGCGAAATTGATATAACGCCTTTCTTCTGCCTCTATTACGAGGTAAGAATCCTCCTCTCTTTCTGTGATTTCGGCGTAGTAGGCGGTGCTCTTATCGCTTTCGCCAGCTCCTTCCTCGCTTAGGGAGTCTTCGTCGGCGTAGTATGCTCTTTTAGGCTTATCCCGATTCTAGCCTCCGCGGTTCCGGTATTGTCCTTCCCGGCCCTCATTTCGTGGCCTTTGTTGGTCATATCTGGGCTCTCTTCTGCCGAGGTCCTCGTTCCCTTGGTGTTGTCCTTCCCATGGCGGAGTCTCCTTCTACCATTCCGATTTCGTCTCCGGGGTTCTTCCCCTCCGTTCGCTAGGGCGGCCTCGGTCATCTCCTCGTTCCCAGTTTCTGTTTTGGTTCCACCCTCCTCCTTATCGGTTCGGGTTATCTGGCCTTTGGGGTCGGAGTCGATTATCGTAGGTGTTATCGCCGATTTCTCTCGGTCTCTAGCTACGAGGAGGGCGGTTTCGGTCCCTATAGCCTCTATTCCATGGGCGGTCGTTGCCCCATAGTGCCGAATCCTCGGGTTCGGATCCTTCATCGTCCCTTTCGTTGGTGGTATACGCATATTTTTCGCCATATTAGAGCTTCTTCGCTCCGTTTCCGGTCTTCCCGTTGCGTGCCGCTTTTAACTTTTCGCGCAAGGTCTTCCTCTTGCTGTCCACTATATTAACGTATTTAGATCGTTCGTCGGATTCCACCGGTGCCCTATAGAGTTACCATAGCTCCGGGTATAATTTAGCGTAAAAGCGGGTAAGCAGCTCGAGGTCTATGGCCTTTCCCACTACTTTGGATACGTCGAAGATTCTTGCGGAGAAATCTCATAGCAGTCGGTCGCTTTCTACGTCCTTAAGGGTAAAATAGGCTTAGTCTAGCCATTCTAGAGCTTCTTAAAGTTCTATGCCAAATTCGGTTTTCACCGCGTCGAGGAAGGCGCTAATTAATGCGATATAGGTCTGCCTCTCTCGGTCGTCGAGCAGTCTTCGCTACTAGACCAATGCGCTGCCTCTAACGAGTCTCTATGTATTTTCCTTAATAAAAGCGACTTACTGAGGGCTACTTCCTTCGAGGTGGGATTTGACTGAGTCAACCCATAAGTAAGCGTCTATAAAGATTGCCGTAGTCTTATCGTAGAAGATTTCCGCTAGGGGATCTCCGGATTTGCCTCTCGATGGTGCATCTGGCCAGAAGAGGCCAATATCGGTGAGTTTAAATCCGATATTAGCGTTCTTCCCTCCTCCTATGCTCCCCCATTCCTAGTATCCTAGGCCTATTAGGTTTAACCTTGCGGTAGATGACGTGAACGGCTCCATTGGTGGTTCCGTCATCCGTGGCTATCCTGCCCCACTCGGTCGTAGGGGGAGTTAATTTCCTCGGTGAGGCTCCTGATATGGTGGAGTCGAGGCCATAGCGGGATAGGGGGCGTATGGCGGCTGGGTTGGATGCGTCGCGTGGAGGGTCGGATGCTGCGCCTGAGAGTGTGTTCCATTCCATCCTTGGAATTGCCCTGACGAGTTCTGCTATGGTGGTATCGACGGTGCTGGTGCCGAATATTGGATTCTGCTCGTTGGTTCTGGCATCCAGTGCTGCGGGACTGGGTGCTGAGCCGGTTGCTGGGCCGGATGCTAGGCCGGTTGCGGAGGATAGGCTTAGGGTTGCATTCCATCGGGACCTGCTTATACGCCAGCGAGTCCCATATCCTCCAGCTTCAATCCGTAGTTTCGCTCGAGGAGGTCGATCATCCGCCTTGCCGTCGGGGATCGCCGGTAAGAGTCTTCTATTTCTAATCTCGTTTCTTCCGGAACCGGCGTTCGCCTCACCGTACTATGGGATCCTTGCGATCCCGTTCCGACTGGGTTTGGGGCTCCTGTCTGGAATTGAGGTACATGGCCTCCCGCGGTTGGGTCTGACTGGTTTATGCTGGGAACCGGGGGTCGAGCTGTCGGATCCGTAATTTCCGGTGCTTCCGTTCGCGCGCTTGGTTGGTGGACGCGAGGATGGTTCTGACGTCCTAGCGTCGGATTCGGCGAGAGACGGAAGGTCGAAGCGGTGAGGTAGTCGGCGTCAGGGGTGTTAGGACCGAGGCTTTGTATCGGGTCTGATAGCGCTGGTCGATTCGGGGTCTTTCGCTTCCCCAGTGCCGTCGACGCTGCTAGTTCCGGTTCTTTTCCTTTTTCCTGCGAAGGATCCATATTCGATGCCTCAGTTGTCGGTCCTGACGGCTCGAGTGTCGTATCCGTCGATGAAGCGTAGACTAAGAGTTCGTCGTCGGGTGGCAGCGCTCCTTCGCGTCTGGCTCTCTTAATGATCTTTTTGGTAGTCTCCCAGGCTTGTCCGATGGCGTATGGATCCGTGGCGTTCCAGTGATATGGTGGTTGTTCTGTGCTTGGTGCCACGTCTCTGTAGAAGGCGTTGAATTCGTCTATTTCCCAGTAGGAGAGCTCGGTTAGGTCTTCGAGTACGCCTGGTTCAGCGAGGAGTCGTTTCTTGTGTCTGAAGGTTGGGTTCTGTAGTAGAAAGACTCGGAATCGTCGTAGGTGGTTGAAATCGTTCTTGGTGAATTTCGCTTTTGCTAAAGCCCTTGCGACTGTCTGGTAGGAGGCTTGCTCGAATAGGTCCTGTTTTGACGAACTCGGGGTCGACATAGAGGTTGTTGGTTTCGTCTGGCCCATTGATGGGGACGAAGGTATTGATCCGTTGTGTTTGTGAATGAAAAGAGTTGAAACTTCCTTCCGGTGCTTCACTTGGTTTCGACGTGGAATATGTCGAATGAAGCGTAGGTCGAGTTGAAAGAAGCGTCAACTGCTACCATATGTTATGGATCCCTTAGCTCTGGTAAGGGATAGAGGTACCGCTGAAA